AGGGAGTCATATCTAAAAGATATTAAAAAAATCAACAAATTAAACACACACAAAAAATTGATCAATAAATAGGAAAATGAACTGAATATATGGTTCCACGTAAAATAAAATAATAATAATAATAATAATGAGTATAAATGGCCAATAAATACATGAAAAAATGTTCAACATTCTTGGCCCTTGGGGAAACGCAAATGAAGACTACATTGAGATCCCACCCCGTCCGTCACACAGTAATCATTAAGAACACAAACACTGCAGCTGCAGAGATGGCTCAGCGGTTAGCGGTTCACCGTGTTTGCTCCTGTAGAAGATCCAAGTTCTACCTCCACCACACTCATGTCAGGAAGTTTACAACCTCCTGTAACTCCAGCTCCTGGGAACCCAATGCCCTTTCTGGCTGCTGCAGGCACCCATACGCATGTTCTTTCCCTCCCTCCCTCCCTCCCTCCCTCCCTTCCTTCCCTTTTGATATTAGACATGTCAGTGAGTATGAAGTGATATCTCATTGTGATTTTTATTTTATTTATTTATTTTTATTCATTTATTTTTGGGTCAGGGTCTCCCTGTAGCCCCAGCTGGTCTGAAACTCACTATGTAGATCAAGTAGGGGCTGGAAAGATGGCTCAGTGGCTAAGAGCACTGGCTGCTCTTGCAGAAGACCTGGGTTTGAATCCCAGGACCCACAGAGTGGCTCACAACTGTCTGTAACTCCTGTACCAGAGGCTCTGATGCCTTCTTTTGGGCTCCATGGACACTGCACACATGTGGTGCACATACATACATGCAGGCAAACCCTCATACACATAAAATAAAAATAAATAAATCTTTTAAAAAATTATTAACATCCCTTAAAGCTTACTAAAAAAGAGCACTCTATTTACACATGGCCGAATCTGGCCAACTGCTGCCACAGAGGAGGACTGTGAGGAGACATGTGAGCACAGGGGAGGACTGTGAGGACACGTGAGCACAGAGGAGGACTGTGAGGACATGTGAGCACAGGGGAGGACTGTGAGGACACGTGAGCACAGGGGAGGACACGTGAGCACAG